CATAAGGTGGCTGAGCAGGAAAAAAATCAAGACGGTCACAAAACTGGCTCGGGTCAGCCGATCTTGGTTCACGTGAGATGAACCAGCTTCTTCGCCACCGTTCACGGCTTCTTATCCCTGCCTCGCCCCCTACTGCCTAGATAGAGGTTATGAAGCCCATTTGTACCACTGTCTACTCTCCCGACAGCGCTCAACCCAGGGCAAACCTTGATGCCTTGACCATCCCCTTATAAATCATCTCTCACAAGCTGCGATCCTCCAGCAAATTCCACACTCATATCTCCCGAGACACTCTCTAGTTTCCCACATGGGCTGCCACCTGTGTACAACCCTTCATGAAATCTGTCAGCGATCAGGAAGGTTCCCGTGGCCTTTGGCTGGTAGACGTCAATACATTAAGCACCTTTCACAAGATCACCAAACACAAACAAGCATGGTGACACACATCTGTAGTCTGCACTTAGGAATCTGAGACAGGAGGACTGCAAATTCTAAGCCATTTTAGGCTCCATAGCAAGACCCTGCCTCATAAAAACGCACAACAACAAAAACCCACCAGGAATCCAGGCTTGGTGATACATACTGTTAATCCCAGCACCAAAGCAAGTGGATCTCTAGGAGTTTGAGGTCAACCTAGTCTACACAGTGAGTTCCTGGCCAGCCAAGGCTACATAGTGAGACCTTGTCTCAATAAAACAACAGAACTGATACAACCCAGACCCAAACCAACCAAGCAAAAACCAACTGGGCTGGTAAGATGTTCAGCAGGTAATGGTACCTACTGCCATGCTTGACAACCTGAGTTTAACCCCTGGACCCACATGTTAAGAGAGAAAAAACCTCAAAGTTGTCCTCTGACCTCTACATGTATGCTGTGGCATGTGAGTGTACACCCATGCTTGAATGAATGAATGAATGAATGAATGAAACAGAATGTATAAGAGGCTGGAGATAGGGCTTAGCAGTTCAGCGCACTGGCTGCTTTTGCAGAGGACCCTGGTTTGCCTCCCAGTACACACATGACAGCTCACGACCATCTTTAACTCCAATTCTTCTGGCCTACTCAGACGTCAGGCATGCACATGGTACACATGTATGTCAGGGGCATGAGAGTTACAGCAGGTGACAACTAGTGTTCAGATGTCAGCCCACCAGAGGAGTGGTTCTCTGATGGAGGTTAATCCTGTCCAGACAAGGTCTGTAGGACTGTCAACTCTGGAAACTGTTGCTCACTTTTGATAAAGCAGCTCAGTGTTACCCTAATACCTCACTGCAGTGTGTAATCTCATGTGATGTGTACATGTAATCTCATGATTACAACTCAATCTTACGGGCACATATATCCGTGGATGGTCAGAAAGATGACTTTTCATTTAGCTGTATAAAACCGATATATAGAAACTATACGAGGATAGCTTCATAACTAGGGCTATGGTCCCATGAGGACTGTCGACACTTACAAGCCTGCTTTACTCCTTTCTCTAGCTGCACACAATTAGCTCATTTTCACCTCAAAACAAGTTCAGCTAGACTAAAGGTTTTTTGTTCAATGAAAACTTTACAGCTATGCGCAAGGTCAGAGTCGCAGCTGTCTGCCAAGGACTACACAGAACACCCTAAGAAAAGCATGCCTATTCTTTGCCAAATCTGTTAACAAAAGACCTAAGTCTCAAAGCTTATCTCACTGGGCACTGTACACCCGCCCTCTGGTCACAGTCTTAGTCCTGTAATCTTGGACCCTTGTGTTGCCATGGTGAACGACTCAGCTCTTTATCTCTTGTTCTAGAAATGTGCTTTTGCCAATGAAAGAAATTTCTTTATCGCTTCAAGGTCGCTGGGAAAGAGTGAGAGAAGGAGAAGGAGGAGAAGGAGAAGGAGAAGGAGAAGGAGAAGAAGAAGAAGAAGAAGAAGAAGAAGAAGAAGAAGAAGAAGAAG